GAGCCGTGTAAGGGGAAGGGGAAGGGGTATAAAATAGAATTGGGATTGGGCCTCAGTCACTGCGTCATCAAACTATGCCTTCGCCTCTTTGTTTATTTTGAATACACGCCCTCTAGCGGCGAAAATTACATATTGTGCCTTTAACAAATATGTTCCTTTAATATTCAATAAAGTAAGTATTACATAATCAGCATACTTTTATTTTATTAATTTTTTTTGAGATTTTTAATAAAGATATATAGTCGTCATGAAAAACAAAATCAACCTCTAAAAGCAAAACTTGAGTAGAATTATTTTTTTTTCCAACTAATAATTTGGTATTAGTTGGTCCTGGGGCCAGTTGCATAAACTTAGCCTCTATTGACTAACTAGCATTTAACCAAGTGGTAATCAGTCTTACTTTTCAGATTCAAATTAGACCAATCTACCTTTTTATGTAACTGGTTTTAAAAAAGTTATGACCAGTCCTGCAGAAAAAAACAAAAACAGATGACTACCTTATAAGACTAGTCTAAACAGTTTATGCAACTGGCCACAAATTATTATTATAAACGTAAAGTGCAAAAACAGTTATTTGAAAAATAAATGCAATTTCAAGTCAAGTCAAGTCACCTTTATTTATATAGCGCTTTATACAATACAGATTGTGTCAAAGCAGCTTTACGGTGTCAAACAGGAAAATGGTTTGTCAATAATGCAAGAGGACAATAACAAACAGTCAATTTTTCAGTTAAAGTCAGTTCATTGATGATTCAGTGATTCAGTGATGCCATCATTCAGTTCAGCTTTCTTCCAATAGGCTTAGTATCTGTGCAATCAAGCCACCAATATTGTCAGAAATTAACCCATTTGTGCCCAAATTTTTCTGAATGGTTTCATGCATATAGTCATATTAATAGTGTCCTATGTGAACATGTTCTGCATTTATTTTCCCCAGGTTTTAGTTTTTTTTTCTTGAAAATCGAATACTTGAATGTGCGGCAACTATAGTTGCCAGTGGGCAAATATGTTGTATGCACCCCTTCAATGTCAAATTTGAATAGGAGGAGAGCTGTTGGCATCTAACTCAAAATAACTGCTTTCAACAGATCAATCTTTATTCATAAACAAATTTTACATAAACATATTTGCATACTATACTTTGTGATGTAAATATGTAAATATCACATATCTTATGAATAGGCACATATTGATTAGGTCAAATGGATTAACCCTGACAAAAGTCCTTGATATTAATTAAATTAATGATATTCTTTTTAAAATATATGATTATTTAAATATTTTGATTATTTGTTTATTTGTTTATATTATACTTGTTATTATATTTATTTGTTTATATTTTGTTTGTTTATTTATTTACTTATTATTGAACATGCCAGTATTTTCATTCTTAGAGGTGTGTTAGTTAAATAAAAATAAATAAATAAAAATAAATTGAATGAGTAAAATATTACATCTATATAATAAAAAAAAAGGTATACCTGAAAGAAATTTTCTCCGCATTTTTTTTAGACCCATGGTATTCAATGGCTGACTGTAGTAGGTGATTTCATATAATAATGTAAATGTAAACTCATTACTTTCAATTTTGATATTTCAACATTATAATGGAATCAAAAGCTAAATAGGATTAAAAAAAATTAAACGAGGCCTCAATATTTTGCCCCTTACAAGACATAATGTCATAAAAGAGAGAAAAAGATCATCTACAGCAATTAATCCCATGCGTTAGCTCTTTATCTTTCCTTTCTTCCTTTTGTGTGACTGACGGAAGTTTGTAAACTGCTGCTGTCACTTGAAAAGTGGAAATTCCCACCCTCCCATGGCAAAAGCAGATACAGAAGCGGGGCAGTAGAGCTGTAGAAAGATTGCTCTCTCATCTCCTTCTTTTGACAGATTTATTCCCTATCAAATTGAGTACTGTACAGTAGAGATGTCAGTTAAAGGGTTAAGTTATGTTTTAGGTGGGATATTACGAAAGCAAAAAGCACTAAACAAGACCAATAACCTTGATTTATTAACCTATTAACACAGTATACCCCATTTCCCCATGATATGTACTTACAAGTCATTTGCCCACCCGCAACTATAGTTGCCGCTTGGACTTATGATTAAGTATACAAAAAACTATAGATCTCCTGGAAGATTTGTTTTGTTTGGATGATTCTAGAGACCTTCATGATTATGTAGATATATATATGTCAACAAAAAATACTTATTAGTAACATGAAAATTAAATTTCTTTGGGAGGGTTTGCCTTCGCCGTGCTTCCTGGAAGTAGGGGTAGGAACTTGACAGCCTCATGTGACAGGAAAGAAGTGAATACCTTTTTTTTTTCATGAAATCCTTTATTTGGTTGTTTGCTTGCATGTCAGAGAAATAAAACAGGGATAACATCTAGAAAAATACTTACAAAAGGAAAATGACAACTATAAACTGCGGCAACTATAGTTGCCGGTGGGCTTAAATGGGTTAAGTGTCCCCAACTAAGCAAGCCAAAGGCGACAGTGGCAAGGAAGCAAAACTCCATCGGTGACAGAAATGGAGAAAAAAAAAAACTTGGTAGAAACCAGGCTCAGTCTGGGGGTCAGTTCTCCTCTGGCCAGACAAAACCAGCATGGTGTGGTTTAATTCCATGTTGCAACACAGGTCAGATTGTGCTTGGGCCTTCTGGTTCCCGTTGTCTTGTCCCGATGGCCGTCTAGTTGACGAGGTCTTCGCACGGTATCTGTCTCTGGGGCTCATCTAGTTGACATGGTCTCTGCTGACATTCAGGGTTGTAGAGGTCCGTCTCTAGGTGTTGATCCACCATCTGGTCTGGATACAGACTGGATCTGGGTGGCGACATTAAGAGCATAGGTCGTAATTTAGATATATTTTTAAGATAGAAAAATGGTTTTCAAATGCTAGAAACATGGTTTTCAAAGGAAAGATTGTTATCAAATAGCACACCTAGGTTCCTAACTGATGACGAAGAATTGACAGAGCAGCCATCAAGTGTTAGAAAGTGTTCTAGATTTACATGCGGAGGTTTTTGGTCCAATAATTACTAAGTTTTTTTCAGAATTTAGCAGTAGGAAATTACTAGTCATTAACTATGCATTCCGTTAGTTTTGCGAATTGGTATGTTTCGTCGGGCTGCGAACAAATATAGAGCCCAGTATCATCAGCATAACAGTGAAAGCTAACACCATGTTTCCTGATGGTATCTCCCAAGGGTAACATGTCAAGTGTGAAAAGCAGTCATAGTACTGAGCCTTGTGGTACTCCATACTGCACTTGTGATCGATATATCTCGTCATTCTCTGCTACGAATTGATGACAGTCAGATAAGTAAGATTTGAACCATGCCCATGCAATTCCACTAATGCCAACATAATTTTGTAGTCTACTCAAAAGAATGTTGTGGTTGATAGTGTCAAACGCAGCGCTAAGATCCAGTAGCACTAATAGAGAAATACAACCACGATCAAATGATAAGAGCAGGTCATTCGTAACTCTGATGAGAGCAGTCTCAGTACTATGATACAGTCTAAATCCTGACTGGAAATCCTCACAGATACCATTTCTCTCTAGGGAGGAACATAGCTGAGAGGATACTGACTTTTTTAGTATTTTAGTAAGTAATATTTATGTCTATAGCACCTTTCAAGAGCAAGTGTCACAAAGTGCTTTACATCAAAAAGATAAAATGAAGATTAAAAATACACATGACAGAAAAAGGAGATTTGAGATTGGTCTGTAATTTTCTAGGATTTTTAATGAGGCTTTATAACAGCCAGTTTGAAGAATTTTGGGACATATCGATCCTAATGACATTGACAAATTAATAATATTTAGAAGAGGATCTATGACCTCTTTTAGTAGCTTAGATGGAATAGGGTCTAACATACATGATGGTTTTGATGATTTGGCAAGTTTATACAATTCTTCCTCTCCTATAGCAGAGAATGAGTGGAATTGTTCCTCAGGGGGTCTATAGTGCACTGTCTCATGCAATACTCTAGCTGATGGCTGCATGGTTAAAATTGTATCTCTAATAGTATCGATCTTGGAAGTAAAGAAGTTCATAAAGTCATTACTGCTGTGCTGTTGGGAAATGTCTGCACCTGTTGATGCTTTATTTTTTGTTAATTTAGCCACTCTTTTAAATAAATGCCTGGGGTTGTGTTTGTTTTTTTTCTAAGAGATGAAAAGTAAGCAGACCTAACAGTATTTAGAGATTTTCTAGTAGAAGTAGAAGTACTTTCCCTCCATGCAATATGAAATACCTCTAGTTTTGTTTTCTTCCAGCTGTGCTACATTTTCCAGGCTGCTTGCAAGTGTGCTCGTTTTACCAAGGTGTTGCACTCTTTTCCTTAATCTTCTTTAAGTGTGAAGGAGCAACCATATCAAAAAGGGCTAGAAAAGAGAGAGTCCATAGTTTCTGTTACAATGGCTAATGGATTTCCTGAGGAATTGAGACAAGTCAGGAAGATTATTTACAAAGCAGTCTTTTGTTGTAGAAGTGATGGTTCTTTGTAACAGTTGAGTTTGCAGCTTTAGCTATATGGAGTATACACACGCCTAGATAATGATCAGAGATATCATCACTCTGCTGCAGAATTTCAATGGTATTAACATCAATTCCATGTGTTCATTCTTACTGAACTATTTATTAGTTCTACAAAATAATTATGAGATTACTTGTATTTAAAATAGTAAAAGCCATACTTTTCTAATCCCCCATAAACATTCTTGATTCGGCTGCATTCAATGGGAAAAGTATTCAAGTAACATGGTTAAAAAAAAACAATAATAAAACATATATGTCAGTACTACTTGGAATGATGCATTTCCCCACATATCCCAAAACATACAATAACAATATTTAAACATAACATTTGTTTCGTCCTTGAGGCAACATCAGTTTTAACACAAATCAAAAAAGAAAGAAAGAAAGAAAGATATATTTACATCACATGGAAACAAAAAGTAATTTCATCATTAGAAAGCACTGATAGCAAAAATACAAGTTCAACTTGTTTTGTAAGCATGGTTAAATAATGCATGTTTTCAGAACGTTTTTAAATCAATGAAATAATTTAATATGATTTGTATAGGTTTATACAACATGTGTCATATTAATAAAACTTATCTCATTCACATTGATAGCAAAAAAGAAAACAGCAGTAAGACAAGATCCCCAGCGTTACAAAACTTTGATGTCACTGTATGCCCTGCAGTAGTTATTTATTGTTGGGTAATCCACCATAACCAAAGGTCCTTGTCATTAAAAGCCTTTTTTGTTTCAGCAAAATCTCGTCTTAGTAATCATTTTAACTAGCTTAATCTCACATAGAACGGGTGCAAATAGTTAATATTTCAGTGTCACAACCACATGAATACACTTTGCCCTTGTACTATAGAACACATGCCTCAGCATTCACTGTTCACTATAAGTAGTTACTTTACAATATCAAGTTAAAATTATCCAGTTAAAACAAAATGTACTATATAACATCAGCACAATTCTAATGAAAGTGTAATAGACTCTTTGCTCTGAAAAAAAGCTTGCAGAAAGCTCAAAGTGTTTGATGTTCGTAAATAAAATTGTTGTAGTGTTCAACACTGTGTTGAGAGATGAATCGGAAAAGAATTAGCTTATTTGGTTCAGTTCTCTCATTTTTGCCCTTAAGTGTCTTTTACGAATTTTGATCGTCCACTTAATGCTGAGTTTGGCAAAGTCTGCTGCTTTAAATAGAGCCATGAAGACGCCACACAATATGGCTATGGTGTTCCACGGGTTTGCGGTGACTATCTGTTCAAAAACATAAGGCACAATTAATTAGACTCTCTATAAAGCATTGGAGCTAAACGTTCAGACAATTTGGTAAATATTAGTTTAATATTGAATAAAGTGCTCACTTACATCTTTTACTTGCTGTATAAATGGATCTCGCCATTGAAACACAACAAAGAACAGCTCATTGGCTTGCTCCTGTGGAGGCCGCTTGTCAATGTACTTCACCACATTGGACTGAAATAAATATGGATGATTAACCAAATATTCAATATTTGTGGATCAAATGTAATATTTTAAGAATCAGCTACTGAAAAACCTAAATTGGTTGACCACTAATCTGAATATTATGAAGAACATGATCTTTTCATTTTCTATGGTGGTTATGATTCTGACTATTATGCTGAAGTTGACAAAGATTGGTAAATAGTACTATAAATAATATATTACCTCCTGTCTAAATTCAACGGATTCATTTCCTCTGCCTGACGTCTTGACCAAAGACATTTTGACCCATGTCCGAAAGCCTCCAGAGAAGGTCCACATTGAGTAATTCCTTTCACAGTCCATCATAAAAGCAGCTTTATCTGAGCTGGTAAGAAAAAGAGATTTTATACAAACAGGAAAACAAATCTGATTCATGGTAGACATTTCAATACAGCTCTACCTTTCAAGCATGTCACTAAATTTGGCAAAAATCATGTAACTGATTGCACTGAAATCCTCATCCGTTTCATTCCGACTGAACTGGAGGAATAGAAGTTCTCGGTTCCTCACATCAGTTGGCCCTCTGACCACTATGGCCCGCTTCTGCCGCAGACATGTTACGTAAATGATTATTAATAGCACAATTTCTTTGAAATAGATTTGAGGAAGATCTGAAACATACTTGTGTCTGGTTTGAATATGGCCCGTGGTAAATAACCTCCTCTTTTATACAGTTTCTTTCCTCTAGTATGTCCAATGCAACAAGAGGTGGAATGTTGTCGTGATAATGATGCTTGCAACTTAATAACTGCGCCTTCCCAGGATACAAAGCTATTCCTGTTTGCAAAAGAATGATAAAAAATACTGTAAATATAGATACCGAGAGATACCATAAATAACAGTGTATTATAGTTCACCTGGTGCAGTAAACTCCTCAACCTCTTTGTATGAAACAGACATGACTGGATGGTTGAGCTTCTCCATAAAGTCTGAAATGGTTTGGTAGGCCAAGAACACAGCCACCGTAGTGAGCAGCAAATAAATGAGGACAAGGATGATTGTGAAAACATTCTTCAGGCAAGCTTTGTTGAAACCAATGGCCATTAGATTGTTGTCCACAATGTCCTCATCTGCAACATATAATAAAAGTTTATATTAAAGCAATGTCTTTATTAAAAGACACAATAAATACGTTAAAAATAAAATACAAACAAATAAATAAATACAGACTTTATTGTCACAGAAAGGGAAATTTGTCCCAGAAAATATCTATCTATCTATCTATCTTTGCAAATTTACCTTCTGAGACAGTACAAATAAATGAATATCTAAATAAATAAAACTCAACTGCACCAACTAAACCATCACACAATAGAACTATAGCAGTTTAAGCAAAGGAGAAAAAAAAACAGATGCAGTTCTAAAGCGGTTTATTTTGTGATTATTGTGCTGGCAGTTAATACAAAGTGTATCATACAATCAAACTTTGGCAAATTAACTCCTGAAGATAATGATATGAATATACAAATGCATACATTATAAATCAATCAATCAATAATCATCAAAACATCTCATAATATAACCATAGGACTTCTGTCTGCATACATAAATCTACATCGAAATCTAGATCTACATAAACAGAAAACATTTATTTATTACTGTCATATTTTGAGGAAAGAAGTTCAGACCTGGTGAAGGGTCACAGCTGGCTTGATCTTGCTCCACTTCAGAAACAACATTGTTCTGGTAGTGTTCTGGCCCAGCACAGTCCTCACCGTTAAACTACAATGCAACAAGTGACATTTAAAAAGTGCATAGACATATACAAATACACACAAAATTCATGTATCTATGACAGTATATCGCGGTTCATATCTCTCTATACGCCCAGCTGCTGCTGCAATAAAGAGCAGCGGTCAGCTGTTATCACATGACTGCACTTGTACGCACTTTCTGCGTTACTATGATAATGAATGATGAATGAGTCCTGCAGGATCTAACCGCATTTCACACACCAGTTTCATTACCTCCTGATAAGATCGAGATGTGTCTCTCCTCAGCATTCTGCTTCGCCTCCGAATATTTGGGGCATTTAAACTTTGCCATCAACTTTCAGGAACAGGATCCAGGTTCATTTCTTACGGATCGTCTCGAGGCGCTGGAGTTAGGCACAGCCAATGGCCAAAAAACATGCCAAGCGTGACATCACAGCTGTTAGTTTGGGGAGGGCTTGGGATACAATCCTTTTTCTTTAAAGTTTAACGTTACTCAAAATCTTCCATAGGTTCTGTTTTGCAAATTTCTGCACTTGTACGCACTTTCTGCGTTACTATGATAATGAATGATGAATGAGTCCTGCAGGATCTAACCGCATTTCACACGCAGTTTCATTACCTCCTGATAAGATCGAGATGTGTCTCTCCTCAGCATTCTGCTTCGCTTCCGAATATTTGGGGCATTTAAACTTTGCCATCAACTTTCAGGAACAGGATCCAGGTTCATTTCTTACGGATCGTCTCGAGGCGCTGGAGTGAGGCACAGCCAATGGCCAAAAAACATGCCAAGCGTGACATCACAGCTGTTAGTTTGGGGAGGGCTTGGGATACAATCCTTTTTCTTTAAAGTTTAACGTTACTCAAAATCTTCCATAGGTTCTGTTTTGCAAATTTCTATCACACTTGGTTTCCATAAATGTTTTCTCTTATGATTAAAATCACACTTCCGTATATTATAATAACAATTAATCTCCATCTTCTTTAATGAGAGGACAGTGTTTTCTTGTATAAACAAAGAAAAACAAAGTATTTGCGCAACAGTGCAGGGAACCGGGGTGTTTTTTTACGCAGAGTGTAACTTTATGTATGTTTTAAGTTAATAAACCGTTGTCATTCACCTTCACGCGTGACTTTAATATCATGAAAGACTGACAATGGCGCGAGCCAATAGCATTCGATGGCGGGCTGTGACGGAGCATTTCATTTGATGAACCTTCTAAACAAATACGCCCTCTTTAATGAACGAGTCGCGAATTTGAATCAGATCGAATCTGGACGAGAGGGGCATGTAGTTCATTCCGTTCGTCATGTGAGTCAGTCAGGTAAACGAGGAGCGAAAGGAGTTAATTGTGTGACCATCACACACAATAAACATGACGTAAGGATGCTAATAAAATGCTTAATTTGTTTAGACTATTATTGTGGTTGTTTTGTAGCTTGATAAAAGTCATGCACAGTTGACCAACTGGATGAAAAAAAAAATGTATGTCCTGTTCTTATGTGTGGGGAAACACACATATGATGCTTAACACCAATTCTCAAGTCAGTAGATTTGTTGTCAAGCCAGTTTTAATAAATGATAGAAGACTTCGGTAGTGAACAAATCGGTGTTTTAATCAATCGTTTGAATTAATGATTCAGTGATTCAACTTAAGTCCATAAAAGTTACTGAACGGATCTTAATGTATCTTTTTGATGAACGATTCAAAAGATTCTAGTTACTGAGATGAATAACAGTTACATTTTCAGGTTAACAGTCAGTATTAACTACTGATTTTCAAAAAAAAAAAAAAAAAATATATATATATGTAGTAGATAAGGACAAAAAAAGTAATTTAACTGTACTTGTTTTGAATTTAATAATAAAAAAGAAAAAAGAACAGATGATAAATTCTGGTGCTAAACTATTTACTTTCAATTGAATAAAAATAAATAAAAATATTTAAATACATACAATTATTAGATGAACAAAAAAATTACAAGACACTGAACTTTATTAGTTTTTAATTTAATAAGAAATTAAAAACTAAATGAAAAATAAATGAGAAAAATCCTGAGATGTTTAACTGTATTCATTTTCTATGTAATATATTTCAATAATAATAAATAATAATTTTATTGTCAGATGAGGGGAAAAAATGAAAGTCCTCAAGGAAAAAGCAGTGAAAGGGGACATGGCAGCAGTTCCAAGAGATAATAATAATAATAATTAAAAAAATAAAAACAACAAAAAGCGTAGGAGGACAGATCACGTATCTTCAGAGGTATAATTTAAACACTTATAGCACACCATTTGACAAAATTTGACATTTTTTATTTTAAGTATTATAAATTAATTTAAGAAATTAAATGTAAGGATGAGTAGGCCATGAATTTGATAGCTTTTGTATAGGTATAAAGCAATTACCATATAAACTGAAAAAAAAATTAAATGAAAGAAGGCTTACATGATATCCTAAACAGCATGCTAAAACGGAATTTCTATGGCCTTGTCTTCTTCTTTTGTAGTTCTATGGCCTTGTCTAAAATATAAAATTCAACAGTTTTCTATCTATCAATTTTTTATTTGTAATTGTATGAATACTAAAAGGCATAAATAGAGCAAATATAGGTTACAGCAATATACTGACGGTAGAAATATGTCAGTTGCACAAATTTGTAAAGCTTTGGCAGTTTTAATTGTTTGGGGGTTCAGTTATTTCATTTTTCCATATACATATTAAGATCTGTATTAAAACATACATAAGACTTTGTGGTTTAGAATGTTTTTTTTTCTTCTTCTTCTTCTTCTGATGCATATGGACTTTCAAAAAAAAAAAAAGTAGAGATTCATTAAACTTTCTGGATATTAATACCTATGAAACTCTTTTATAGTCCTGAGGAACGTGCTCAAGGAGAAGTTTCAGTAGTGCGCGTCACTTCCGGTCCATCTCACGTGAAAGGAGAAACAGAAACTCGCGGTTGGAAGTTTAGAAAATTCCCGAAGCAGAAGTGAGCGTTACAATCTATATCTCGGACCCCAAGTAACGATACATCAAAATGTTATTTACGATACATTAAAATGCCGTTATGTCCTAAAGCACCAACTACAGATTTTGTTCCGAAACAAACGGAGCATTTACACCTCTGATTGTGAAAGCTGATCCGAGATCAGCATCAGAAAGGCTGAATGGAAACACATACACTCCCATGACAACAAGGAAACTGCCGCCGCAGACTCGGTTCTTACAACATATAAACCTCAACACGACAGTCCACGATGTTTTATGCCTGTATTGTTGTATTGTACGGTTTACTAAGTATTTGTTCCACAAATGAAAGTAAAATAAAACGCGAGTCAAAACCGGTGCGTCTGTTTACCGAGGAGGAGTTGCAAAGATACGATGGGAGCGAGGTAGGCTACGTGTTGGGTCACAAAAACACTACTAGTTTTATACGATATTTCGTTCAAGCTTAAATGCAAACTGCATTTACTAAAACGTCCCCCGCATCCTTTACAGGAAGGACAACCAATTTACATGGCCATTAAAGGTGTAGTGTTTGACGTCACAACTGGAAAAGGTTAGATGTTTTATTTAACATAACGTTCTCCAGGCTTTTGTGTGCTGGTGGAAGTTATTAACTTGTTAGAGGAACTACATCTATCAGTTTGAGAGATCAGTGTTTAATAGACAAATGCTTTGTTCCTTATTTTGCTCTTTGTGTAAACCACATGCCTATTTGCCTTTAATGGCTGAACTTTCCAACAGTGGAAAAAAAACTGGGATTCCCAGGGCTGGAAAAGTGATGCTATTTAGCATAAAGTTCCAGGAGTTATGGGAATTCTTATAGTGAAATTGTGCGGTTATGTTGAGCTCTACTGTATTTCATCAGCTAGAAATTGTAATTTGTGATGACAGTCTATATAGATTTACGTAATCAAGAATGGCATGGGAGTTCCTTGTTTAAAGTGTGTGGAAACCTTGTTGTGTTTCTTTTATTTTCAGAGTTTTATGGAAAGGGAGCATCTTATAATGCCCTTGTTGGCAAAGACTCAACCAGAGCTGTGGCCAAAATGTCCTTTGACCCAGCAGATCTCACTTATGACACTGTAAGATGGGGATTTTAACAAATTCACAACTGTGCCACAGAAGAAAAACATTAGTTTCAGTTTCTTAATATAAAGCTGAATATTGGATTCCATCAGACTTTTTTGCACTAACTTACACATTGCCTCTTTTTGGTTCCTATTTGTTAGACGGGCCTCACTGAGAGTCAACTACAGTCTCTTGAGCAGATATTCAAAGGCACATACAAAGCAAAATACCCCATCGTGGGATACACCAGCAGACGTGTTCTCAATGAGGACGGCAGCCCCAATATAGACTTCAAACCTGAAGACCAACCGAATTTCACCATTAAGGATGAATTTTGATGATAATTGTCTTATAATAATGCTATCCAGAAGTCCAATCAAAGTCTGAATCATAGTTGTTTGTGACCTTTGTCTGTACTCTTAAGTGGGCATGTGTAAATTTGAGGTTGTCTGGTGGTCTTTCAGCCTACAGTCATAGAAAACATTATGATGCATGCTGTCCCACGTGGGTTTTTCCCTGGTGGGCTGCTTTGAATGTCATTCAAATTAGGCCACCTACAGGTGTGATTTAAAAAAAATAAATAGGCTTGGTTGTTTGACATATTTACATGTATTAAATGATGTTAAATAATAATTTTAAATGTTTGAGGTGTCTTAAGAAGTATCTATAATTGTAAACGCATTAAATCTCTTGGTTTCTATTATTGTACATGAGGGGAAAGTTTGGTGATTCTTACTTCACTTAGAAATTGAAATTGCTTGTGGTGAGAGGTTTCATATTACAAATTAAGCGTTAAAATATCATTCCACAACAACATTTTTACTCAAATGCCATCTCAGTCATAATTATAGTGTTTGTGTCTAATCTTTAAGAAATGCCCTCAATGACCAGAAATGTTTCGCATTAATCTGAAGAGAGAGAGATGTTTGTCACTTCAACTTGTTGTCCTGTCATATTAGTGTCATGTCAGAAATCTAAATGGAATGTGTTTATGAATTTCTGAAGAAACACATAGGCAGGTGTCATCTGGTCTAAAAAAAAAAGTTTAATGTGGGTCAGGCAATTGGAAAACAGCTGTTCAACATGCTATAGTTCTCATAAAGGCTATAACTCGGTAACTAAAAATATCTGAGATAAAGGTGCAATTGCACAGGTACTTGTTTGAAAAAAAAAATTTGTGAAAAAAAATTAAGTGTTTAATACATTTTTATAATATACATTTTTTTTAGGATTGAAAAAAATAACAGTATTTATTTGAAAAAGAAATATTTTGTAATATAAATATCTATACTGTCAATTTTGATTAATTTAATGCATTAATTTAAAGCTAGTTTATAAAAAAAAAAAAAACTGACCCCAAACTTCAAACTGTTCAAAGTTTGTGAAGAATTCTGTTCTCCAATATAAAATTCATTGTGCTGAATGTATATTGTATTTATTATATGATATACATATTTTTTGACTCTAATGTATATGCCTAGGAAAAACTTTAAAATCCAAACCTAATGAGAAGTATTCACTGGAATAAAAAGTGTGACAAGAAACCCAGTTCTGCCCAGTAAAGAGAGATTAACTGTTCAAACTTGAGATATTGATTTTGAACCTCCTCCACATGTTTGACTTTTCCAAAACATCAAAAAGCTATTGATGAGAAGCCAGTGACCTGATTTCCAAGGCAAGGCGACTGTAAGCAGTAGGTGGGTATGCTGAAAACCATTTGGTCAAATGCAGCTCTTATTTTCATGATGAATTTACCTATTATGCAGCTCATGTAAAAGCATGGGGGCTGGACGGTTTCATGAACGATAGTGAGTCAGTTGGCAAACA